TTAAATAAATTAAAATAAATTTATAATATTATACATCAAAAAATAACTTGACCTATAAAAAGCTCGATTACCATTGACTTACATTTCCACATGATTCATTTTCTGTAAAGGCATTTTTTATTTTATTTTATTTAGACTTTGCTAAATTTAATCATTTGAACAGCGGATATTCGATCATAATATCTGCAATAAAATTTCAATTTTCTGCCAATAAAAAGAATGTCAGTTATATTCAGAAATACGTTTTTTTTAACTTTCAAAATTGTATAAATATCTTGTCATAAACTAACCTAATCCATTAATCGGAAATAAAGAATTGGTAAACATTGAAAACTGTTTCTTTGATATATCAATATAAATTATATGTACAAGTAATAAAACTCACTATAAGAAAAATTTAAATATAAATACCAATGTATGCTTAAAGAACATATATTCATGATTGTGATTTACTGAACTATTATTTTACATGGTAATTGAACAAGTTAAGAAGTTTTATTAAATTTAGATTAATCAAATATTTTAAGATTTTGGCAATATTTTAATCCGCTTAGCAAAAGAAATTGATGAAAAGATCAGATTCATCGAAGTCAAAAAAAAAATCAACTGTATTTTTGAAAACCTATTGATCAAAAGAAACTATTATTAACTCTATATATTTATCCATTATAAAAGTTTGCATTTTAATTTATCTCCTGAATTTAATGATCAACAATCATTGTTCTACATTTCTTAGTAACTGATGATGACGAAACGCTTTTGTACTTGAAATTTCGAGCTATTTTGCCTGTATATTTGTTCAACGATGTTTGGCATTCTGCGAGTCATAAAAACGCATTTTATTACATAAATATTTACTAAAATTCAATCCAAAACTCTATAATTTTTACAACGTATAAAATCAATCTGGAAAATGTATCATTAAGTTTCTTTTTTGATTTATAAATGTTTTATGACATGTTCAAATACGGACTTGTTAAAGTATGAACAATACAGGATAGTAAGGTGACACAGGCAACTACTGTTTGATGATTTAGATATTTATTTAATATATTGGCATAGTAGAATTTTCAAATATAATTAAAATGAGTGATAAAAATCACATTTAATTTTTTTTTCAAATTTAAAATACTTTTTTTATTAGGAAGAACGTCGAACGACTGGAAGAGCAGTAGCCACTGTGATTGCTTTAGGTTTGATAGGTTTGGCAATTTATCATGCCTGGATCAGGAGAACGGTAGTAGTTGCTGGTATTATTGTTCCTGCTCTCATCATGGTTCTCTATACTGCCTGGGTTTTATACACAGCAAGAAAAGACAAAGCAAGAGCTAGAGTAAGTTGCAAGATCTTATTGTGGTACCAGAAGTCCTAATGGATTCTTATCATATATCGTACCCATATTTCTGACCAAAAATGTGTTCCTCCTTTTTCTAGTAAATTTCAGTGAAATTCCATTTAGCAAAATATTTCAAAACCAAAGATTGTGGATAAAATCGTTTGTTTTCACAGTTTCTCAATATAAATCAGTTCATTGTTTATTTACGTTCATTTTAAAGCTTTAGTTTCTCTTGTTAGGTATTGATACGCGATCACTTTACGTCATCATGTTACGTCTAAATGATGACGAAATTTATCTAATTTAATTTTATGGGCTTACTCGTGGCACTGTGGTAATAGCTTTGGCTTTCAAATCTAAAGTACCAGTTTTGATACCCACATTGGACAGCCTGATATCAACTAACAAAATTATAGGTTGAAAATATAGAAGAAAATATGTTTCTGAGTGAAAATGCCCTTTCTCTACATTGACAGATTCAACTCTACCAATAAAAAAGCATCAAATGTAGATAAATTAGATGAAGGCAAAATGGATTTCCTTCAAAAAAGCATATGTATCATCAATAACAGCTCTTAAGACTCTTGAGATGGGTTCAAAGCCAAATAAACAAACAATTAATAATAATAATGGTATAAAATGTGTGAATAATTTTCTCTATTTCTAATGGCTTGTATTTTATTTAATGCACCAATGTTGCGGATAGCTAATCCTAAAAACATTGTAGATAATACATTTCAGTAAAATGTAAATAAATTGAATTCAAATTTTGTATTCATTTCCTTTTGTTTTCCAGAAGTTGCAAATGCAGCGAGAAGCTATTTTGAAAGAAGTTATTAGCGCAGTTCCCAATATCAGTGTTACTGAATTTGACAAAGAAGAAGCTTTAGCAACAAATGATCAAAAATTAGAAAATGTGAATAATGATATACAAACACCAGAAATTGCATTTCATCCAGCAATTTTACAAAATGAACTCAAAGAACCAAATCTGCAGACTAGAGCTAATTTTGGACGATCTATATCTGTAATTTAAGGAGTATTAAATAAATTATTTATTTACTGTTGATCTACAGTAAATACAAAGTTACCCAAGTAATTCTAGTATTAAGTATCTGTTGATTTCTTGACAAGTAGACATAATTATTTAATTATATTATACTATTTTGTATTAATAATCTGTGTTTTTTGGCATAAATAAATTTATGAAGTCTATGTTTTGTTTTTTAAACCAATCCCTTATTAATTTTCAATTGAATTATGTTTTTGATTTAACCTAACGCAAAAACATAAAACATTTAATAACTTTTCTTAAATAAAGGAGATTTAAATCTCTATACAATAAGAATATGATGATATACTTATATGTTTAAATCTATAAGTCGTTGAGAAAATTGTCATGCAATATATATTGATCTCTTAATTGACCGGAAATAGGATATACATATATGTATAATTATCATTATTTTATTACAACAAATAATTATTCTGTATATAAATATTTATACTGTATAAAGAAAATAATAACAATTATTGACCTAGATAAAAAAGCAAAATACACGCATCCATCCATTTTGTGTATAATCAATGACAATCGGTAAATTTTCTGTCAGACCGTTTGACAGCTGTTCTATGCGCTTCTGGAATAAAATCGAATTGCGCATTAAATAATTGATTTTCAAGCAATATTATTCATAAAAAATTCAAAGTAAGTACAATTAATTCTCTTTTATCCTCTTTTTGAATTTTGTTGTTCATATCTCTTACAATTAAGCTACAATACTATTACAGATGTCAAGATACCGTGAGTGGGATCTTTCGTGCAAAGTTTACATTGGAAATTTAGGCTCTTCAGCTACTAAACATGATATTGAGACTCATTTTAGTAAATATGGCCCTTTGCGCAATGTGTGGGTTGCTAGAAATCCACCAGGATTTGCTTTTGTAGAATACGAGGATCCAAGGGATGCTCAGGATGCTGTGAGGGGTCTTGATGGAACGTGAGTAGACAAAACATTGATTTTCTTGTTTATAGTTGAAATATACCAATAATAGAATGATAATTATTTTCCTGAAGTTATTATTGAAACGATGAAAATGGCAGCATATGTACTATTAAATTTTTATATCATTTGCTATATTTTGGTAAAATATTAGGTATTATTAGTAAATATTTTTTTTCAGTTATATATTATCGTTTCAATAATTGTTGAATATATTTATTTACAGCCGTTGCTGTGGAACACATGTCAAAGTTGAAATGTCTTCAGGTAGATCTCGTAGAATGAATTCATCAAGAGGTTCCAGGAGGCGTTCTAGGTACTTAAACACAACATACTACTCAATTCACATACCCAATATTTTATTTGTATATGAAAACATACATTCATTAAGCTCATTAATTAATCTTTCACGTATAATATTTGAATTATTTATTTTGGAAGTCAATACAGGCTTTTATATGTTTTCTTACATGTGGTAATATGTATATTTCTCAAACAAAATATCTTATTAGATTCTGATGGTTAATCTTATCAGATTACTGAAATATTTCTTTTCTAATGTATAGGCACTTTGTCATTTAACACGTACTTTAGCAGCCTGTAAATACTGGTCTTTGCTACCAGTTAATTTCTATAGAAGTAACAACCCGTCTTTCAAAATTATGACAACCACTTTCGCCCATGACAACATGTCCAGCCATTTGAGATGAACCAACAACATTGGTTGCACCATCCATCTGACTCCTGTTGGATACATCTTTATTTATTCATCTTTAATGCAACTTGGCTGATCCCCAATACAACTTTAACATCAACACATCATGCGGTTTGAAAGTACTGAATATATGTATAATTATACACCTTTATATGGTTACAGTAAAGCCATTCATTGGTATTTATGTATTTATACTGAATAATTTTATGGGTTCTATTTATGATGATATTTACACTTGAGCATGAGTTTTTAGATGAAGTTTTTAGTGATTATACCGTATTACACTAGAATATAATGAATAAATATTGCTTTTATCTATACACCAAGCATCATGTGCAAATACCATCATTTATAGACTTTTTTATAATTAGTTAAAACTTCAACTAGTCATTTTTTATTAGTCATTTAGCTATAGCGCTAAATTCAGACAGCTTTGATAACTGTTAAATATTCAATATTCTTATAATTTTCGTTTGGTAAAAGTTATTACTATATAAGTGAGTATAGGAAATAGGATTATGAGTTTATTTTAAATTCATCTCTTCTATTATAATTATTCATCTATTTATAGTTAACACCAACTAACATTTTCTTGAATATAAGATATAAACACTCGGATTGAATTATCGTTGATGTAATTCTTAACATTATAGTTAATTTACTATTCATATCTTACATTTAAGATATATGTATTTTACTAGAGCTGTTTGAACAAACATTTTACCTGGACATTATATTATACAGTGTGGTTGCTTTATATATCAATTATTCTATTAAAAACATATTTATTTTTTTTTAAACTAAAAGTTTATCTTTATAGGTCGCGTTCACCAAGGAGGCGATCGAGGAGCAACTCTCGCAAACCAAGAAGTCGTTCTTATTCAAGAGATAGGTACTAACCTAACTATATTTGACAAAGCAATTGATCTTTCTTGAAATCACGAATGAAATTAGTTTATTTAATTTTTTATTTTAAGTATAAATATATGACCCTTTTATGTAAATTGACACAAATATTCATTAAGCACTTAATATTTTGTTAAAAATTTTGGTTGATTTATTGGCATTTTATCGATCCTTTATGAAATAAATGGATTAAAGCCAAATGTATTATTATCGTAAAAATAAATAATAATCAGCATAATTATCTACCTACATTTTTTTTGATATGAATTTGAAACATTGATTGTATTTTCAACCATTTTATATAAATAAAAAATATTATATAAGAATAACGTAATTCTGCAGGCATTGTGAATAAATAAACCCCAACGTAAAGATTTTGATTATTGGTTAAAAAAATGGTGATGGTGCTCACCAGTAGTTTGATTTTTGAATTTATTTTTCACCTGAATTGGACAAAATATGTGTTAATCAAAATTCCCGCCGGATCTGTAGTGCGAAAGTACAAGTTAATATAAACACACCAAATTTTCTTTATATGCGGAAATTTTAAAAAAAGTAAATGTATAATTGAATTAATATAAATGATTTAATAGATCAGTTAGCCAAAAAATGGAAAACGAGTGTAATGTTAAATAAATTTTTATTCAAAGAGCCCCTTAAAGGCAGGCAGACAACCTTCAGACATCACTTTTCTTAATTGGAATTTAGCATAGTTCACTTTTATATACTAATTTGCATTGAAGATTGTGATAATGAAATGATTGAAGTAAAGCCAGCAAGTGTTTGTGTAAATTAAGCAAGGATTAAATCAATGTGTTCATAAAGCCCTATGAAGTCTTTATTCCCCTGACTGTGAGGCAAATAACATTCCGCTGGAAATTACGTCTTAGGGCACGTGACGACGCACACACGGTATAGTGCACATGTTTTTAGTCGGTATCAGTATGTGTGTTGAGCTGAAACGTTTTTAACTGATAGTGTACATAGGCAAAGATATGTCATTTCGTATTACTACCGCTAATTATTTTTTAACATCGAATTTATGAAATAGCGAACATTTAAAATAATAAAAACCTAGTGTTAAAATATTATTCAAATTTAGAATGTCAAGAACGTTTGTTTCTATCTTATGTTTTACGTGTTTCACATTCGCAAGTTCTAGCGCGACTTCAGTGAAAGTTATCAATGTTACTAAAGTAAACAATGATTTAGAAAAAGTGTTAATACAAATTTCAGGGAGTTTGTTATTAAGTGATGTAAGTGCCTTTGTGTTTCCTAAAAGTGATCTAGAGTGTAGTGAATCACCAAATAGTGCTTCCTTCAACAACCATGTACCGATTTTCAATTTAACTTTCGTCGAACCAGATACTGGCCTCGCCGAATTCGTTGTGGAACATGCGGATTCGTTTTGTTTGCAAATTTTTGGAGAAAATCAAGATAATGCAATATTTTCTGATGTCATACATTTGAAGAATCAAAGGTAATTGTAAATTAATCAAAACTCGACTCGCATGAGTGATGTTATCAGCAAAAAAACATGTGAGATAGTAATTGTACACAAAGTCATTGATAGGCGTGCCTATTTATGATAGATTGTGGTTTTGCTTAAACTATTTAGTCTTAATTTCTAGATTAGTCTTAATTGATTTAGTCTTAGTGTTTTTAAGTAATGTATATCGAAAATATGTTTTTCCTAACCAAGGGAGCACAAAATTTGGCAAGAGTATTTAGATGTTTCTAAAATATTATTAACTTCCCGTAGGGCTAGTTATAGTAATCACAAAAAAATCGAAAATGAAAATTTGTATATATCTTTACGTTTCAGAGATTTCTAAACATTTTGGCATACCTTAGAAAAAATGTATGTGTGTGTGTGTGCGTGTATGTATGAATGTGCGGATACAAATTTTCATCGACGATTTCGGGAACACGGATCAACCGATTTGAATAATTCAAAAAACATTCGATTCGTATTGATAAGGAGACTTGCTGATTAGTTTTTGGCGAAGGCAGGTCTAGCCGTTCCGAAGATACGGGGCAAAAAGTGCCCAAAACAGTAACTCAGTTTTTAAGAGAACGGAGCGTCCGATTTGAATAATTCCAAAAACATTTTATTTGTATTGACTAAATGAAGAACTGTTCAAATTTTTGGAAAGGCAGGTCCAACGACTTAGGAGATATGGAGGAAAAAGTAAAAAAATGAGTCATCTGGCGGTCAAAAATGAACATTAGACATTTGCACAACAAATTATCATTTTAACAATAAGTGTAAACATTCCTATGGGTTCCGTACCAATGTTTACGCGTTAGACGGCCACGCGGCGCTTACGCGCTTTGATATTTCGTCTTTATGCAGTTAAAGCAGTACGATTGCTTTGAAAAAAAGTTCAGAATTTCCAAAATATTCCAAAATAAACGATTTAAGATAGAATGATTTAATATGGTTCGAAAATCTATTAAAAGTTTCAAATCATTGATCAACTTTTATTGATTATTTTTAATTACTCGAATTTTGAATTGCCGTACGGGAAGTTCCAGCAATTTGCCTTAAGGCACGATGCCCTAATTGCCTTAAGACAGAATTCCACTTACAGCTAGTTTACAATACAAACCAAAAAAGTCGAATGGTTATCAAAAAAAAATGGATCAGGAAAATGGTGTACTTAATACGCAATCCTTGCCGCGAATTTCAAAACAACCTTTGCGTTTGAAGTTATTACATTTTGATTATTTTATACTTATGATACTTATTTTTTATATACATTTTGACTTAAAATATTATTTATTTAAAATATTAATTTAAGGTAGCGCTTTTTTTAAATGTCGACATGGGTACAAAATGTTTGGAAACCATTGACAATGAGTTATATTAAATACTTTTGAACGATTAATTATTTTTAAAATCACTAAAATATCATTTTATTGCAGATACATTATAATAGAATTTCTATATATATTTTGTTAAACTTCTTTCAATATTCTTCAAAACCATATACATTATTAAGTATAAATAATGTTTTCTCAAAAATAAAATACCGCACTGGATTTCCTTCTATGTTTATAAAGTTATTAGTCATAATAGATTAAGATATACCATTCATGCCGGTCAGACTAATTAAGACAATTTACACGTAATATTTTAACTTTTAAACTATTTCATTAAATAGTAATTAACGTTGTTTTTACTAATTATTATTTGTGCTAAATTAGAAATACCGATATAAAACCCGTTCCGATGAACCCATAATAAGAAAGAAATCAGCTGTGAAGTTATCTAAATTGTTAACTAGAGCCAGTTAACTAGATACCAGCTCGGTATCAAGCAGCATGATACCAGATTTTCACTTAAAATCAAAGATCTACTACTACTTGATACAAGTGCAAAGTCAAATCTCTTACCACTGAGCCTCGAAAATAAGTCTCAATAAAATTTGATAAAATGTCTTAAATATTTATAAAAATATATGACATCACATGTTAATTCTTGCTTTGTAGAGGCGTTTTATTCAAATACGGCATTCGGTGACAATGCAATGAGTTTTCAATTGATTTGCTGGACTCGAAGGCATGACATCAACGAGCTTGAATTGTATTTGTCATAAAGAATTGCCTTATTAATTGATTAATACAAAATGTTCTGCCATGATATATTGCTTTATCCATAAAGTACTTAAAGGCAAATATGCGAGTTGTTTTGATCGGAGTTGAAACATATTTAATTATAATTACTTAAAATTGTATTGTATTGCACATATTGGTAAAAGTTCCTGTATATTTCTAGGAGAATGAGTCAACATTTATAGTTTCTATATATTAGTCAAAGTGGTGACCCCGACTGGTGACCATATGAATAGATTATATTCTTATAGATTTTATATATAAAAAGATTCTTACATAATAGGTCAGAAAATAGCGAACATGTTAGATACTAATTGGCCAAACTATTGATTTTTTAAACCCGTCTTTAGCATTTGCAGTTCTTTACATTACATTATATTACAGCAATTCCTTCATAAAAGCTAAGATCAATATATCGCATTCTATTTTAAAACTTATCTTGTTAACCTATTTTTCTGTAATGCTAATATGAACAATGATTATTTAGTGTATTCAAGAAATAATTATAATGAAATGACATATAAAAATGTAATACAATTGAAGTTATAGTCACAATGCTATATTTTAACTTCCCGTAGGGTAAGTTATTGTAATGGGCCGAAAATCGGAATTGAAAATTTTTACATTTCTCGACGTTTTGAAGGTTTCTGAACATTTTGGCATACCTCAGAAAAAATGGATGTGTGTGGCGCACGGATCAACCGATTTGAATGGTTCAAAAAAACATTCGATTCCATCGATAGGGAAAAGAGTGATTAGTTTTTGGCTAAGGCAGGTCCAGCCGTTCGGGATCGGAGCAAAGAGTGCAGAAGATAGAAATCGAGTTTTGAGAGAACGGAGTATCCGATTTGAATGATCTAAAAAACATTCAATTAGTAATGATTGGGAGAAGTGTTTATTAGTTTTGGCAAAGGCAGGCCCAGCCATTTGAAGATACGGAGCTAAATATGTAAAAAATGGCAGTTTTGAGAGAACTAAGCGTCCGATTTGAATGATTCAAAGAACTTTCTGCTTGTCTTAACAAAATAATTGATTTTGGAAAAAAAAAATTTTGTTCAATTTTTTTTTTATAATTTTTTTGTATATCGAAAATTATTCAGATTTTATTTTTAATTCTGACTATAGTTCTAATATACTTTAATCAAATAATTTTAACTTTGCAATTCAGTTTATATAATTCTTATAAATATTAGACAATGTTATAATATATATAATAATCTATTTGAAAACATTCAGTACTCCTCGAACATTTCGTTACGGTACGGGAAGTTCCAGCAATTTTCCTTAAGGCACGATGCCACCCACCCCACTAGTTTTGTTCTGATTTAAGAAAAATTGTGGTTCACCTATTTATTGTCCAGATCAAAGCAATAAGCGTTTTGAATTTAAAATATTACATATAAA